TTACCACCATTCCTATTTAAATTAAACATAGATTAAAATCAATATAAAATTAAATCTATTTAAACTATTAAATGTTATTAAAAGCCAGGCTGAAAAGACAGGTCTTGATTTCCTCGATTTGCATTAGAGAGAAAGAAATATTCCTTCCTCTCTGTAGCTGTGTTCCCCATTAAATTTGATGGTGGTTCTGTGAAGGGGAAGAGGGAATTTAGGAGAGAGTATCATTTGGGCCACTTCTTTATTCTTTATTAGCCAAGGCTTCTACAGTCTTGCCAACAGGGACAAATGTTTCAGAGCAACAAATTAGGCATTAAAAAGCAAGTCTCTCAGACATCATCATTATCACTTTCTTGTTGACAGTAGAAACTAAAACAAGAAATAGATAGTCAGCAGCTTATTTTCTTCTCCTTGAAATGGGCAGGTTGGAATTTCTAAGTTTATCTTCACCTGCTAGTCATCACTACAGTGGTCATTCCCAAATTTCTATTCTCTAGATTACCATATTTCAACTTGGTAGAAAAAGACACTTGAGAGAGGGTGGTTGTTTACATAAAGCATAATGCCCTGTTCGGTGTGCAAAATATATTAACCTGTTTTTGCTCCTCTACTGCTATGAGTGGTTCATAAAAATCAATTGAAGTTCTTTTGGCAAGCACCCACTCACTTCCAACTCTCTCCCTCTCTGGGTAAGTGATCTTCCTCATCTCAAGGAAAAAGCTTGATTAGATCCCTTTCACTTGGGACTGGCCTAGAAACGGTATGATCAGTATTATCTTGTGCTCTTGAGAAATGGCTTGAATGAAGAACTGTTTAAACAAAGGACTGTTATTTTATTCTGGCTGAGTAAAAAAAAGAGTATATTCAATACATCTTGACATGAAATCCTAAAAGGAACTAGAATTCCAACAAATGTATTATCTGTCTCTTGAAAAGGCTAGTCAAATACATTAAACCCATTAAAATAGGAAGACATGGATGGTTCAGGCTGCCCAGGAGGTGATTTGTGGTTGGACCCATGTGGTGGTGTCTGCTTCTCTACGGGAGGGGTGGTTCTGTCAGCCATGAAGGAGGCTGTGGTGCAGCCTCTCCTCAAGAGACTATTGCTGGACCCAATCATCCTGTACAATTTCCATCCAGTGGTGGAGAGTGTAGTTAGGCTTCAGCTCCAGAAGACCCTGAAGGAAGCAAATTTAGCCCCTTTTCAGTCAGGGTTCAGGCTGGAGTTTAGTATGGAGACGTTGTGGTTGTTGATGACTGTGGCAGAGCTGGGATAGGGTAGTGTGTCTATCCTAATGGTCCTTGATCTCTCAGTGACTTTTGATACTGTGGATCACAGTATCCTACTGGGAGTTGGGAGTCTCATGGTATTGATGACTCCCAAGCCCAATAGGTACTCCCAACTCCCAACAGGACTCCCAACTCCCTCATGGTACTGTGGATCCCAGTATCCTTCAGGAGTTGGGAGTGGAAGGCATTGTTTTGCAGTGGTTTTCCTCCTTTTGCTGTTGCCAGTTTCAATGGTGTTAACAGGGTGAGAGATTGTGCCCTTGGCTCATTACTTGTGGGTGCCACAGGGCTCAATTCCCTCTCCTCTTTTGTTTAACAACTATATGAAATCACTAGGTGAGGTCATCCATCAATTTCATTAATATGGTATCACTAATATGCTAATGGTACCCAATTATACCCCAACCGAGTAACATGAATACATGTTTTCAGAAATATTCTCAATGATCTTTTGCAAAAAACTCAAGAAGCTGACTGCATCTTCACATGTAGCAGAAGGAAATTCTAGTGGATCTTATTTTCAAGGTATTTAAAATTATTTATAAATTAATAGCTAGTCCATAGCAAATGCTTTGGGTTCCTGCCCCCCCACCCCATTTACCAAACTCTTTTTAATGCTAAAATTCTAGGTGACTTATGAGATCATTACTGTTATTTCTTCAGATGCAGCACTGTTTCCAGCAATCATCTACACAAGGTATGACCTGGAGTACTGATGAGCCAATCAAATGCTAAAAGGTCTCCAGATTATTCCACTGACTCATTTCAGTGTATAAAAAGGGTTTAACTGTGTGTAACATTAATCATGCAATCATGTTTTCTATTGCAAATGTGTTTGCTTTTTACCAAATGCCAGTAGAATCACCTTAATGTGGAATGGGATCTGGATGGAGAGGGCAGAGGGCTTGAGCCTTTCACCTACAACAGGACCCATTTCCCATATCTGCACTGTCAAAATAAGATCCTATGGAAACGAATGTAAATATAAACAGTGTGCAAACACATCTATGTACTATACCTCATATAGCATACTGCATATACTGCAGAATTAGAAAGGCAGTACACGGTAATGGAATAAAAGTTACTTCTTTTGCTAGTTGTGGCTAGTTCTAAATCAGGGTGTAGCACGCTGCTTATCTATGAAAAACAAGCTTGCACTACATGATTTTTACATTTCATCCTAGAGAAGCACATTTCCTTTCCATCTCCAAAACACTGTACTGTCTGTCACACTGAAGCAAAAATAAGAATTCCATTTTTATGGAGGGGGAGGTGCCTAAGCAAACAGCAATACCTGGATGACCTTAGATGATCTTGGAAGCTAAGGAAGATAAAAGCCCTGGTCAGTATTTTAGTGGGAGACCATATAGAAATTCCAAGGCTGTTGACTGAATTGAGAAAATAACATAAAAGAAAAAAATCCCCAAACTTCCTAGAAGAACATTGTCAGGAAAACTGCACGGATTTAGTCTCCAGGAGTGGAATGTGACTTAAGAGCATCTTTAGTTTTAGGGACCTACATTTCTACATTTAGCCATCACTTTATTTTTAAGAGCAGTTTAATTTAAATACATCTTGAATTGGGCCCTTAGCCTTTAAAAATGCCTCAGTACTTTAAGATGTTCTACTGTAATAATAGTACAGAAGTAGACCTTGTTTTCTTCTTTAAAAAAAGATGCAAATATCAAGGGTATTCCAAGGTAGATATTTGCAAAGCAAAGCACTAAGTGTAATAATTTTGAAAAGACTTTCCCCCCATAACTCTAAACACTAAGTATGTATGAACCCCAGTGAGTGGGCATGTTATGCTCAAGATGCACATCCAATCACATACCTTTTTATGCTCCACATGTGCTGGATGTCCATGTAGTGAGTAGATTAATTATTGTCTCCGCCACATTGTCCCTACTTTTTCTGGCACTACTGATTTGGCATTACAGTAGTAATCAAGACACACAGAAAATTCTTCTATAAATTAGTTAGTTTATATCGAGGGTGAGCTAGCAGGCAAAAACCTTAGTATGAAAAGTTGCTCAGAAGGGCATCATATACCACAACAACTCAAGATAAATTTGTCACTCATTTTAATGAAGCTAAATCAATCTATTCGCTGGATTCATACATTATCTAACTTCAGCTAGCTTAGCAGAAAGTATTTACCCATTTGGGGTATCTTGAGAGGAAGACAGTTCAGAAAGATTCCTCTGAGGATAGCTGGGAAAGATTAGCTTATCTTTACAGAATTTATGGGCGAAAGAACATCTATGAACTGGAAAAAGCTTTTATGACAGCAATATTTTGTACTTTATGGAGTGACTTACCTTCTTTGTTGAGCCATTGCTTTCTTTGTTTGTAGTGAAGGAGCTTGTTATGGACATATGGCAAAAGAAATTTGACACACCAGCTTTCCACTCCAAGTTTGTTTTCAACCAGAACTATCGGGCTTCGATTATATCTGGCTTCAGGGCAAGGGATTAATCCAATTTCATCTCTTAAAATAATAACAATAAAAAAATTAGATAACTATATCCTCCTTTCATCAGATGCTAAATCTGCTGTTTTCTCCATGAATCAAACTTTTTCATTCTCCACCCAACCCATGAATCTACTCACTATAACCTGGCATTTATAATTTCTAACTCATTTTATCCTCAGATTCTCCTTATGACAAAGAGACAGGTACAGTGGTACCTCGGGTTACGAATTTAATCCGTTCCATGACTCTGGTCGCAACCTGATTTGTTCGCAACCCGAAGCAA